TCTCAAGCTGGTTAATTTTTTTAAGTTGCAAGAACGCTTTTCATGATTGTCACACCATTGAATGCCTACTAAGTACAGATCCTTTGCTACATTCTTTTGGACAGCAAAAGCTTTCTTAATCAAAAGCAGGATGAATGGCAAATAACACACAAATTAAACCCTTTGTTGATTACGTGCCACGTTTCATCTACTAGGTTCCTTCATGGGTGTTTCTGTTGTTATTTAGAGAGAGTTCTATGAAATCATCACTAAGACTTCATTGACTTGGAGTGATTTATTTTGGGGGGGAAACCAGATGTTTGGGATGGCTGATAACGCATGAAAAGCGGCCTTCTTTGCTGTTTGTTTTCTCAGGGTGAGTTAGGCGATGATGACAAATATTAAGGTACCACCTTGCGCCATCCTGCTGACAGGCCTGTGATGGATCTTTTTTATCAGTTAGTTGAAAACACACACAAAGAAAGAAGATTAAATAATAAGGCCTAGACGTATGCATAGTTCAAGAAGTTAATTGAAATTTAGATCGCTAACTTATCCTCTGTGCCTTTAAATTTTTTAAACAAAAACCCCACATGCCCACACTACACACACCCACACCCACACACACCCACACACACACTTATACAATCTGTTGGGAATTTGTTTCTGAAGGGCTAGTGGCTCAGAGGGAAAAGAAAAGGCAGCATGCTTCGGCCGTTTGGTTTGAATAAGTGGTACAATAGCTATTTGTATATTTTAAAAATTCCAAATCTTATTGAATTAGATAAGTGGGCTCCGAAGAAGGTGAGTGAAACAACTGAACCACTTGTGTGGCTAATTTCAGAAATTTAAAGAAAACATAAACTTGGGAATGTCGCATTACATGGTTCTAAGGCACAAAGCAGAAGGGGGATGGCCTTGGCCATCGGCTCGATTTCTCACCTCATCCAGGACCATCCCATGGGATTCCGTGGCAGTGATGCCACTCCAGGAACCGAGCTAGAAGCGACCAAACCCCAGCACTGGGGGGCTCTTAGCCAGTGAACAACGGCCCCTCAGCCTCCCCCTGTGCTTGGAGACTGGGGGACCCCGCCACAACTGAGCCACCCTTGACAGTTTCCAACTTTCTTTTCTTTTTTTACAGTTTCAGGTTTATTTCTGCTCTGGTGGTACCCCCAGCCCCTTGTGAGTTTTCAGATCACCTGCTCCTCGCTTTCCAACCCCAGACATCAAATCAGTGGGACGTGCGGGTAACTCTGTCCTCCACTGAAAACAAAATCTGGGGATAACTTCTCTCATGTTCTAGTGAGCTAAAAATGAGTCAGTCTTTTAGCATTCAGAGAGAAGCAGCTTCCAGGCCTTTCTGAGCTGCACTTTGCCTTTGATTTCAGAAACAGACAACAGTGGACAGATCATCTGGCCTGACAGAAGGCCAGCTCTCTGGCCCTACGTCTTTAGGTGAAAGACTGTGGCAAGAGGAAAGGGGGATATTTCTATGCCCCGCGTGGCACCTCAGGTGGCATTGTCAGTGAGAGGCCTCTACGTGGTCATCATTTTTTTGAAATACCGTGAGCCTCCATACCTGCTGAGGAACGTCCCTGGGGGTGGGAAGGCTTTTTTCCTCTTTGCATCTTTTAATGTGAATGGACGCCTTTGATGGGTCCAGCCACATGGCTGTGGGATGAGACCCCACTGAGCTCCCATGCAGGCCCCGAGGCTGTGTCAACATGGCTAAAAATAGCGGAAAGTTGAAAGATTCCCTCAGTCAACACCATGGGTTTGCAGGGGGAAGGTGGTGCAATCGATGGCACAGCTTGAATAGGTTTCTCCTGCTACTTCATTTATTATTAACAATTGAACATCCACAATAAGGCAAACAGTTTCTATGCTGTGCCCAGTAGGGTTCTAAATTGCTTTATAAATACGAACAGGCTTGGTTTTCATCGTAACTTTTCCTTTCTTCTTTTTAAAGAAGATTTATTTACTTGTTGGCTCCAGGTCTTAGTTGTGGCAGGTGGGAACGAGCTCCCTGATCAGGGGCCGAAGCAGGCTCCCCGCACCGTGAGCGCTGACTCCTAACCACTGGACCACAGAGGAGTCCCCTAGGAACTTTCCTTGTCTTCCATTCTAATGAGGAGGGAATTGCCAGCTGGTGGTCTCTGGGCCCCCTCTGGCCCACAGATGGACTTTTGTCTTGCAAAGAGTTTGAAAGCTTGGCAAAATGCGTATAAAATTTCAGCTTCTGGCTATTCTTGAAAATGGGAAAGAGTTGGTGACTTGGGCCTGCACTTCTGCTTGGAGAGCATTGGCAAGAGCGAGATGGTCCACAGACAGACGGGCCAAGAGATGCAGACGCATGCAGATGGGCCCTGGATGTGGACTGGCTTTCTGGGCCATCGGAGTTCCCACCTGGCCTGCTGCCCACATTTCGGATCTGTGCCTGGGCCCTGTGATCGTTGACTTGTGATGCTGGTGTTTCAGAGTTATTTGAGTTCATTGAAGGGGGCAGATCATTGCTGGTGGTGGTGGGGAGGGGTTGGGGAAGTTGAGGAACAAACAAAATATGTATTAAGTGAACAAATGAATGGGGTCTCTGGGCTTGAGTGGAGTTCTCTGGGTGGTGAGAGGATGGAATGAGAACGGTTTCCCCAGGAGAAGGGACAGCAACCTTATGTGGTGTCTCAGGGGAGGGCTCTGGAGTCTGGTTGCCGGGTCTAAGCGCCATCTGAATAAGCTTGCGGTCTTTGTGCTTCAGAGTCAGCATCTGCACAACAGGGCTAAGCGAGCCAGCTGCCCCACCAGGGAGCTGCACGGATGGAACAAGAGGTAAAGGACCTGCACACAGTAGGTGCTCAAAAAATGCTAGCTACGAAAATCCCTTTAAAATGCTCCTTTCACGAAATTTAAATAATGGTCTGGAGTTTAGTTAATAGTCATGTACCCATGTTGGTTCCTTAGGGTTACCATGAGGTTTCTGTATAGTAGCTTATATATATATAGTAGCTTATATATATATAGTAGCTTATATATATATAGCAGGTTATATATATATAGTAGCTTATATATATATATAGTAGCTTATATATATATAGTAGGTTATATATCTATAGTGGCTTATATATATATAGTAGCTTATATATATATAGTAGCTTATATATATATAGCAGGTTATATATCTATAGTGGCTTATATATATATAGTAGCTTATATATATATAGTAGCTTATATATATATAGCAGGTTATATATATATAGTAGTTTATATATATATAGTAGCTTTTATATATATAGTAGCTTATATATATAGTAGTTTATATATATATAGTAGCTTATATATATATAGCAGGTTATATATATAGTAGTTTATATATATATATAGTAGCTTATATATATATAACAGGTTATATATATAGTAGTTTATATATATACAGTAGGTTATATATATAGTAGTTTTTATATATATATATAGTAGCTTATATATATATGCTGTGCTGTGCTTAGTCACTCAGTTGTGTCCAGCTCTTTGCGACCCCAGGGACTGTAGCCTGCCAGGCTCCTCTGTCCATGGGGAGTCTCCAGGCAGGAATACTGGAGTGGGTTGCCACGCCCTCCTCCAGGGGATCTTCCCGACCCAGGGATCCAACCCAGGTCTCCTTCATTGTAGGCAGATTCTTTACTGTCTAAGCTACCAGGGAAGCCCATATATATATATATGTATACACATATATATATCGTGATTATTTTAAGTTGTTTATCTCTTAATTTCAAATGAATTTTTAAAATCTTGCATGCAGAGACTTTCTTGGTGGTTCAGTGATTAGGACTTGGGGCTTTTACTGCTGTGGTCCTGAGTTCAATCCCTGGCTGGGGAACTAAGGTTCTATAAGCTGTGAAGGGGGGTGGGGAGGCAAAAAAAAAAAAAAAAAAACCCAAATCCTGCATTTATATTCTCCTTTACTTACAGTTACCAACGACCGTTTTTGATATCATATTTTATACTTAAATGGATGCTTCTTACCAGTGACAAATGTGTCCCTGGTGAGGGCGAGCTGGGTGGGGGGTATATGGGGACCCTCTGTGGTGTTCCTGCAACTTTTCTGTTAATCTGTTAATAAAATATTTATACAATAAAAAGTATATTAAAAATCATATTTGTCTATAAACAGTATATGTCCGTTTCATCAGTGGCAATGCCAAATATTTACTGAAATTAAGAAAATCCTCAAACCCACCCTCAGGTTTTCACACACCGTGGCCACACAGCCTGCATATGCCATAGTTTCCCAAATGACTTTTAAAACATGTGGCAATTTTGGGAAACAGCACTTTCCAGATCATTGGCTGCCCCAGTGTCATGATGTAATCAGGTGCTAGTGAGCCAGGGGTTTTGTCTATTCAACCATTTATTTTGTTGTGCTCCCCCAAACTAAATGAGAAAGCATGATTTTAAAGAGGTCTAGATGGATGTGCTAGGCGTGTGAAACTTAAGTTTCAAAGTCCCCTTTTGTGGCTGAGTAGATCTGGGATGGGGCCCAACAACTTGCATTTCTATGGGAATTCCCTGGCAGTCCAGTGGTTAAGACTTGGTGCTTTCACTGCCGGGGCCCAGGTTCAATCCCTGGTTGGGAGCTAAGATCCTGCAAGCTGCACTGTGCAGCCAGAAAAATAAAGAACAAAATTTGAGGAGGTTGTGCATATGGAGTGCTTATCAAGATGACTGTGCTTGATAAATATAAACCATCATTACTATCTTCATGCTTTAGTCTTATCAACCTCAAAAATGGGTCTATGGAAGGATTGAATGACATATTTTGTGTAAGTCCTTGGTTCATGCATGTCACTTGTGATGAGTATTATTCCATGGGTGTACAACATACTTGTCATCAATGATAACTGTTCTGATGGTGCCCAGGGTGAGCAGGAGCTCTGGCTTCCTTTCCCAGGAGCAGCTACAGAATTGGCAGGACCCAGTGTGAAATGAAAGTATTGGGGCCTCTTGTTAAGACCTGATTAAGAGGGATTTCCCTGGTGGTCCAGTGGTTAAGACTCTGCGCTTCCAATGCAGGGGGCACAAGTTCAATCCCTGGCCAGGGAACTAGGATCCCACATGCCACAGCCAACAAGCAAAAGCAACAGCAACAGCAAAAATTGTTAAGAATTTCAAAGAGGCCTTCCCAGTGGCTTAGTGGTAAAGAATTGGCCTGACAATGCAGGAGACATGAGTTCAATCCTTGGGTCAGGAAGATCCCCTGGAGAAGGAAATAGCAACCCACTCCAGTATTCTTGCCTGGGAACTTACATGGACAGAGGAGCCTGGTGGGCTACAGTCCATGAGGTCACAAAAGCATTGGACATGACTTAGCAACTGAACAACAATAAGAATTTCAAGATGGTAACAGCAGAGCCTTAAGTCACGCATGGGGCCCTTCTGAGCATGAGAGCAGCTTGGATGACCCTGAAGTTGGCCCTGTCCTCTCCCAAGGTCGTCTGGGCAGAGAGCTGGTGTTCAGGCCTTGGAGAAGGATGGTTATAAAAGCTTCTTCTGTCCCTTTATGAGTTCGCATGCTCCCTCCTTCTAACTGATTCCAGGACCTTGGAATTCTGTCTGACCCCTAAGGCTGCTCTTAATGCAATCAGGGGACACTAGATCCCGAGTCAGCCCCCGAATCAAAGGCTGGGATGAAATCTTGGATAAATTACAGCTGTTATAAAGAAGCCACCTTTCACCTTGCTCCCGTATTCCTTCTGTTTATAGTCGTAACTCAATGGAGCCTGCAACATTTGCCATTGATAAACCTGGCTGGGTGAGCAAGCCTGATAGGTTAACAAGGACAAATAGCGCAGCTTCAAAAAGCAACAAATGAGAGGCCAAATCATACTCTTAAATATGCAAGTCTGTTTTTTAAAAGAAAGTGGGGTGATACAGAGAGATGCGGCTCAGAAGAACATTTGTCCATAAGAAATTGTTGAATGATGCAAGATTAAGCCAGCTTGTGCGCTGCGTGTGAGCGGGCGGGCCTCTCCTAAATGCAAACGCTGCTCCTGTCCTGCACAAACAGGAAGCACACTGCCTCCCCACGCCAGCACCTTCCCTGGCAGTCTGCGTTCCCCAAGCACTCACGTCAGGCCGGGGCCCCTGCCAGGGGCTTGACAAGGGTGACCTCCTTCAGCTCGCTCAAATACCCTCTGAACCAAGTGACCCAAGTTCACTAGAAGTGGGTAAGCAGGTTTCCAACTTGCCTATTGACAAACCTGTATTCTTTTTTTAAAGAATTTATTTTTTATTTTAACTGGAGAGTAATTACTGTGCAATATTGTGTCGCTTTCTGCCATCCATCACCATGAATCGGCCACAGGTACCCTGAACCTGCCCTCCCGAACCTCCCTCCCACCTCCTCCTCCATCCCATGCCTCTAGATTGTCACAGAGCATGAGATTCGAGTTCCCTGCGCCATAGAGCAAATTTCCACTGGCTACCTTAATTTAACAGATGGTAATGTACACCAATCCTGTGTTCTTAGCCACCACCCAAGAGTCATCTGGTCATATAAATGTGAGTGACAAAAAAAAGATACAGGAATAACCAACATATATGTATATCAGGCAAATTGTGCCAAGGCTTTATACATATTGCATTTGTACCTCACAGCTTCTGGGGGGAGATAATGATTATTATTATCCCCCTGAGACAGATGAGGAAACCAAGGCTTGGGGAAGGTGAGTGCTAAGGGCCACACAGCTTTGGGGCTCAGCAGTTATCGTAGCTCCAGCTGCTGTCATGAGCTACTGCAGGCGGGGTGGCGTAGTGACAGACTTTGACTTCTCACAGTTCTGGAGGCTGGGGTGTCCAAAATCAAGGCGCCAGCAGATCTTTCCTGGTTTGCAGATGGCAGAGAGTAGCGAGAGAGAGGAGGCAATCTTCCTAGTTTTCCTTCTTGTTAGGGCACTAATTCCATCCTGGGGGCTTCACCCTCATGACTTAATCACTTCCCAAAGGCCCTACGACCAAGTACCATCACCCTGGGGATTAGGGTTCCCGCATATAACTTTGGGCAGGGCACAGGCATCAGCCCATAACAGGAGTCACAGCTCAATGGACTTCCCTGGTTGTCCAGTGGCTAAGAATCTGCCTGCCAATGCAGCGGACACAGGTTTGAGTCCTGGTCTGATGAGATGCCACGCGGCAAAGGGGCGCTAAACCCATAGGCCTCGAGCACTGAGACCGCGTGCCCTAGACCCCGAGCTCTGCACCAAGAGAAGCCCGCGCCGCCCCGCGCCGGCCGCGCACAGAGGAGCCCCGCTCGCGACTAGAGAAAGCCCGGACGCAGCAATAAAGACCCAGTGCAGCCAACGTTAAATTAACTTTAGAAAGTTATAGCTTAAAAAATCAGAAAACGGGAATTTCTTTACTTTCTTTGAGCAAGGGAGAACAGTGCTGCCAACTGTTGAATTTCCACTTAATTGTTTTGTTCAACATGGAAGACGTTTGGTCTTCAGCGCTCCAGACACAAACAGTGAGAGGTGCAGGGACGTGAAGTCTTCAAAATCCTGAAGCCACAGTGGGGGAAAAATAGGCAGCTTGAGGTCAGTGGTGAAAGAGTTAAAAATCCTCTTGATTGTCAGCCTCAGACATTGCAAAACCAGGCCAGCAACTTTTTTTTTTCCCCCCAGAAAAGGTTATAAGTAAACACAGTATGTAATAGATCTGTACTGCCTAATTCTAAGCCATGGTCAGCATCAGAAGGTTACAGAAAATGCAAGCCAGATAGCATGACTGAGGGTGACAAAGGGTTTCTTTTTCTTTTCTTATGATAGATATTTCCTTTTATATTGGAGAATATTCAAATCAGCTGAAAAGTACAGAACACAGTATAACAAACATGTATAGTCCCACTGCCCCCAATCAGCAAATATCATCATTCTGTTGTAATCTTGGATATTTTTAAAATAAAAAATAAGACATTACTGATTAAGCCAAGCCCACTGAACTTTTTCTCAAGGCCTCCCCCAGAAGCGATTGCAATCATGAAATTTATGTTTCCTTTTGACTTTTGCTATGTTACAATAATTTTAATATTCTATAGGTATACCTCTACCTATATATCTGTATCTTTAAATGTTATAAGTGAATTTCTGTAAAGAGTTTTTTGTTCTTGAGATGAGTCATGTTGATACATATGATTCTTTTCAACCGCGGGATCATATTTCCTCTCAGAAACATATCACGTTCTATTTATCCTTTCTCAGACGGGTGGATATTCAGGCTGTTTGCGATATTTTGCTTTTCCAGCAGTGCTATGAGCCTTGCGATGACCTTGTGACATTTGCTGGTGTGTGTTCCTAGCTTGTCTGGGGTGGACAGAATCAATGTTCCCTCCTCTCCAAAGAGTCACAGTGAAACTTGGTCCTGCTCTGAGTCCCTGCCTTCAATGTGGAGACAAGTCAGCTTACAGTACCCACAGAGTCCAGCGCTCTGCACAGCCTGAGACCCGGCAGACGGGCTGGAGCCCACCCTTGCCTCCACTCCCGGCTGCGGTCACTGTCCCTGCTCCTGGAAGCCGCAGGCCCGCCAGCCCCGGACCCCCACTACCTGGCCCCTCCAGCCCCGGACTCCCACTACCTGGCCCCTCCAGGCCCGGACCCCCACTACCTGGCCCCTCCAGCCCCGGACCCCCACTACCTGGCCCCCCCAGGCCCGGACCCCCACTGCCTGGTCCCTCCAGCCCCGGACCCCAGCTGCCTCGTTCCTCCAGCCCTGGACTCGCCACCAGCTGGCCCCTCTGAGCAGCCCTACAGAGGCTCCGGGCCTCCGCCCTAGAGCTGAGCTGGCCTATCATCGCTGCGGGTCTCGGGGACACGCGTGCAATGTGGCTGCTGCATCCATGGAACTAGACTTCTAGCTTCCCTTCCTTTTAAAACTTCAGAACTGGTGTTTCACTCAGCTATTAGATCACTCGCAAGTATCTTTAGGACAATTTGGGTATGTGAATCCACCTTTTCAATCATAAACTTGATGAAATAGAAATTCAGATAAAATCTTTCCCATGAAAATTTAGTGTCCAAACTGAGATATGCTGCCGCTACAAAATCTGTACCAGACTGCAAAGACTTGGTGTGAAAAAATAAAAGTAAAAAATCTCATTTGTTAGTTTTTCCAAAACATTTTTGAACGGATCATGTTTTAGAGACACTGAATTTAGTAAAAATAAAATATGTTATTAAAAGAAGTCTTGCTTGTTTCTGTTTCACCCTGTTTAGCCTGGCTACTAGAAAATTTAACATTACATATGAAGTTGTTTATAACAAAATGTATTATTCAACATGTGTAAAAACAAGTAAAATAAAAATAAATTTAAAAGTAGAGCTTTGAAAACTCAAATAAAAATGATAATACAAGTGAAATAAAAGATAATTAAAATATAACTTTAAAAATATTAAGTATTAATCAGTATAATTAATATTTTAGAATATTTATTCAAATAAAAGTAACTTTCAATTATTTCTACCCATTTCTTTTTCCCTCTTTAAAGCTGGCCACTAGAAAGTTTGGCACTGCTTATATGTTTTGCATTGTATTTTGAAGGGAGAGCTCTGGAGAGTGTCTTCCTGAGGCTGGCTCCTCACTCAGATCTTTGCTGTAACATCAACTTCTCAACGGCGTTTCTCCTAGCCGTACAAACTCGAGGCCCCCACCCCACGGCCTTGTCAGTTCTCATCACAGCACTTGGCGTCACCTGCCCTTCTGGGGCGTTTCTCTGTTGCTTTTCTCAGCATAGGACATAAATGAACATCTCGATAGTCCTCTGGCTCTGGCTCAAGCAGTCCGCTGGGCGCTAGAATTGTGTCTGCCTCGTGGGTTATGCGCATAAATATTTGTTGAGTCAACTCACCTCGATCATTTCCGAGGAACATTTCCAAGAATTTGCAAAACAAACTATCCATGTATACACACCACCCACCCAAGGTCGCAGGACTAGGTAACCGAAATCTAACGCCAAGAGGAGACATTTTCCATTTTGGATCCCAGGTGCCATTGGATCTCATGACTTTTTGTCACCCAGTCTTCCTGAAAGGTGGAACCTTGGGATGGGGAGA